CATCCCCGTGGAGGGGACGCAGAATGATAGCGGCCTCTTCATACATGCCCGGCAGAAACAACGAGAGCGTGCGCGAAAAACACAAAAAAAAAAAAAACGCAACAAACACGTGCGATGTGAACGCGTGTGTGTGTTAAAATAGCATCAGCCCGAAGTATCGTGTCACTTGCGATCCTGGTTCGCCCGAGGCGCGACAGGAGTGCTCCCTAGCACATTTGTCTTGGGGCGAAGAGTAACAACTATCATCGTTGGGCGGGAAAAAAAAAAGACGCAGAGCCAGTTATCCTAGTCGGAATTGGTCGTCGTGCACGTAGGATAACTACCGGTACAATTTTCAGATTTGACAAATTGCGAGAAAGCGCCGCATGGGGAAGAGCGACACTATGTACAGTATTATGGTAGCCTGTTGATGCCAAAGAAAACCACGCCAACAGCACCAACAACAGCGCCAATGACAACGACAACGCTAACAACAACGACAACAACAACCATGACAACGCCGAAGCACCTTCCGCTTCGTCGACGCTGTTCCCCCTCATGAGCGCCTCCGCCATGCTGCACAGGGAGTCCACCACGTCCTGGTGAGGCAGGTGGCTCCTGCCCAGGCTGCTCGACCCCTCGGGCCCCAAGTCCGTGCCCTGCCGAGCCCGAATCAACGTCTGCACGACCACGACAACACGTCAAAACACAGGGCGGGGGAGGATGAGACACTTACCCTCTGCACTGATCCACCCCACAACAACATCGATGCCCAGAGCAGCACCAGAGCTGTCAACAGCTGCAACATCACAACCACCACCACCACCACCACCACCACCACCATGGGCAGCAAAACCGAGAGCAACCCCAGAGCCTGCAACAGCAGCAGCAGCAGCAACCCAAAAGCCCCCCTAGAAAATCCACCCTATCCTACCCCCACTCACCAGGCTCTCCGCGCAAGGGTGCAGGGCGTCCCTGTGCTTGCCCTGCTTCAGCAGCAGAGCACCCAGCTTCCCGGTGATCCGCTCCAGCGCTCGCTTGATCCGAGACTCCAGGGCTCCCGACCCCGTTCCTGTAAAAGAACAAAAAAAAAGCGGCGGAATGAGATTTTCTGATGGTTTTGATCATACATGTATGGGCTCAGTATCCACCAGATTCCGTTCCCCATTCACTGTCTGTCCTTTGGAAGGTGGACAAGGGTACAAGTATTAGTCAGGAACGATGTCGATGTCTACACTATTCAGCTACCGACCCTACTGGGACCTGTGCTCCGCCTTCCTGGACTGACTCCGCCAAAGAAAAAAAAAAACGAGGCGGAACCCAAGGACGTGGGACGAAGAGTGCAAACGTGGTCCTGATGAAACGGAATGTGTGGGTACTGTTTTCGCAATGTCCCCGATAGAAGCGCTCGCCACCCTAAACGCCCGCAAAAGCGACCCAGAAGGAACTAGGGAGGGGACAATGGCGTGACGTCCCCTGCCAAGCACACTACTCAGAAGGAACGAGGGAGGGAACGCTGGCGTTACTCCCCTTCCAAGAACGCGACAAGATGACCCAAATACACCGACGAAGACAAAAACAAAACGGCGTCAGATATACTGTAGCAAGCCGAGAAAATCACCTTGGATGCTAACCAGCTCAAGAGATTGGTGGAGGGAGTCGATGCTCTCCCTGTAGAGAGGGGTGGCGTCACAGCAGCGGCGGTACGCCTGGTAGTCAGCCACCATGTCAAGCGCCTGCGCGAGGTCGAGCGTAGCCTCGCAGGCTACCTTTGCAGCTGTTAGAAGGTACGGTAAAAAATAAAAAAAAAACGGAGTGCGGATGGGGGCGGGATGAGACAGGAAACTAAAGTCAAGAGATCGTGGATGGCGACACAATCGTCGACATAAAAAAATCGACAAAAAAACTTGAGTGCCGAACACTTTTCATCAACGCGAACTAAACAACATTGGCCACCGCCACAACTCGGCGCCTCGTTGTTGCCCTTCCCTTATACCCTGCGGCGGGAATGCTAGGGGGACAACAGACTAATCGGGAGTGGTATACACCAGTCTTGTCCAACCGAAGCGCAAGGTTTCCGTGGACACAGGCCAAAGTATCTACAACATCCGTTGTATCTACTGCTATGGCCACCAGTCTACATCACACCTTTCCCGAATTTTTAGGTACGCATACACAACAAAATAGAGACAAAAAACTGCCATGCGGCTTGTCCCCTGAACGACCGATGTCTGCTGGCAACGGCGGGATCTGGATTTCACATACAAGAAGAGGCAACACAAAAACAATGGCATTGCTGGTTGCTGGATGACCGGTGTCTGATTAAAAAAAAAAAAAAAGGTCATCACGCTGCTTGCTCTCACTTGACGAGCGATGTCTGCTGGCAGGTCCGGCGACGATATCGGCCTCCTGTCGTAGGAGATCGAGGCGCGACTCGTAGATCCGGCACGAGACGTGGCTGTGCCCCGACGTCTTCTTGGCCTCTGTCTCGCAGGCCTGCCATAGCTGCGTTAGGCCCCACAGGTCCCGCTTGGCGAGGTGGTCTCTGCGCCGTTAAAGACGAGACGCACCAAGGGAAGGTAGATGAGATGGGAGCGGGAAATAGAAGGAAAGACAGAGAGAGCGCTACCAGGAAACGCGAGGGGAGGGGTGGGAAGGGGGAAATAGGGGGGGGGAGAGAGACAAAGAAACACGAGACAGAAACAGAGACAGATGCACACAGAGAGACAGAGAGACAAGACAGACACAGCGACAGAGAGACAGAGAGACAGAGAGACAGAGAGACAGAGCAGACAGAGAGGCCGAGAGGCCGAGACAGAGCAGACGCAGACAGACAGACACCTGTGGGAGAACTCGAGCGATTCAACGCATCACTTCATACCTGAGGGTGTCGAAGCTGTCGAGGTGCTTGCAGAGCCTGTTGAACGCCAGCTCCCTCCCTTGCCCGCGGAGCTTGCACCCAACCCACGCCCCTTCCCCAGCGAAGCCCGGGGGATTCTGCAAGAAGCGAGCGGCCTCGTAGTGGAGCACAAAGTTACCCGGCCCCAGCCGATCGAGCAGCCTACGGTGCTCGAACGCCTCTGCTGCCAGAATCTGAAAAACAAGTGATAAATTCGGAGGGTCATTGTTGTTGTTGTCTTCACACAAGAAACCGTACCTTCATCTGTCTGTCTCATCTCATCAAACACAATACGCGGTCTATTCCCGCTGTCACAGGCCATACTCTGAGAAGGGTATACTCAAACAAAATGAACCTGAAGGGTCTGCAAGCCAACACCAGGTTAAAATCAACGGCGCAGGTTGTGTGCAAAGATAGGGAGAGAAACTCGGCCGTGCTGGAACGGTTCGGGTGCAAAGCCATTTGTGTGTGCTCAACAGGGAGGATGGGTATGCCGGGAAAAAAGTTTCGTTGTTGGGGGGGGGGGGGGGGGGGGGGGGGGTTCCCCCGGGAAAAAATTTGGGCCAAAAACCATTTTTTTAGGGGGGGGGGGGGGGGGGGGGGCCCCCCTCCTTTTTTTA